GATCATAACTCAAGGATGAAAGGTGATGGAGAAAATTTTTTTAGGAATAAGTTGTTTATTGTCAACTAAGAAGACATCATCCATAAACAAATTTAGTTTAGATGTAATGATTTTCAGGTGATAAAGAGAAAATCCCCAAAATGTCAAAATTGGGTACTTTTGGTGTTAAAATCGATCATAACTCAAGAATGAAAGGTGATGGAGAAAAGATGGAGAAAACCTTGTCGTCAAATAACTTTATACCCTATTCATAACGTATACCAAATTTGGTTTTTCTAGCTTAATGTATTACGAAGATATTGAACTTTTTAAAAATTTAAGAGCCAACTTTAAAGGCTTATAACTCCTGAGGTGTACAACTTAGTATAGAGGTAAGTTGCGTTAAATCATCTTAATTTATTGTCCTCTACATGTCCCTGCTCTGTGTCGGTTCTTATGTGAATCACCCTGTATGTAAAAAATACAATCACTTTTCAAAAATGTGTCGCAATAAAAGAGTAAATATGATTGATACTAAAGAAAATGAAAGTGATGGAGAAAAAGAAAACTTATTTGTTGGAGAAATTTATTATGTAGATAATATAAAAAATAAAGAGGAGTGGTATAAAACAGTTAAAATAAAAGGAAATGAGATCAGCTGCAAGGTGGACACTGGTCCTGAGCACCAGTAAATGTTCTAAATTTAGATGTAGCCAAACGAATAAATGTAAACATTGAAAAGTCGAAAATAAAATTAAGAAACTATAATGGATCGGAAATAAAAATGTATGGCAAAACTCGAGTTCAGTCTAAAATTGATGAAATAGAAGAAACGGTACAATGCAGCACCTTGTATATTGGGATATCCTAGTATTAAAGCATACGGTCTAATTAAAAATGTTGATGAGATACATAAACAAGAAACAGAAATTGATTTTATTTTAAGTAAATATCAAGATTTGTTTAAAGGACTTGGTAAATTGGAATATAACTATGATATTAAGATAAAACAAGACGCTGTACCTATTGTGGAGAATATTAGAAAAATACCATTAGCCTTGGAGGAAAAAATTAAAGAGGAATTAGATAAAATGGAAAGAGTGGATGTTATCAGACGAGTAGAAGAACCAACTGAATGGGTGAGTTCAATGGTAGTTGTAAGCAAACCAGATCAGTCTCTCAGAATTTGCTTAGACCCGAGGAATTTAAATAAGGAAATTGTAAGAGAACGGTATCAATTGCTAACATTTGAAGAGCTAACGGCTAAAATAGCTGGTGCATGTATATTTTCTATTCTTGATGGTAATAAAGGATTCTACCAAATACAGTTATCTCGAAAGAGTGAACTACTAACAACTTTCAACGCTAGAAAATGA